ACTTTTCTTTATAATGCAATAAAATCTGGCGAGCAGCTATTTAAACGATCAAACACTTCGTTTGTTTATTTGTGGCTTGAAGTTAGGCTCGCAGAAAATACCGTTCATGCGTTAAATTTAGTAGGAATAACACAACCTGTGACGTAGGCTATAGTATACCCAATTGTTTGCTCCAAAGCCAAGATAAATTCATTAACGCTGTTTTTCGAAGCTCAGTCACCAAGGAAACGAAAAACTATAGTTAAAGTGCCTTACACTTGAAGCAATGTGATGATTTTAAATAATGTGTATATACATACTAATATATGATATAAAAATTTCCGTGTAGAATAATCTGGACTTTGGAACAGACAAATAACTTAAATATTTTAAAAGTTATTTAACTTTTGAAAAAAAACCTAATTTGGCGACATTTTCCCACCTAGATGAAAGTTATCGAAATCACTGCTTAGTCTTAGTTTTGACTCATTTTTTTGACATATTTTAATGCAGCATCGGAGTAACTTTTGACATATTGCGCCATTTTTTATAATAAATATAGACAGCGCTGGCTTTAGATAGGCTAAACTTGACCCAACAGTCATGAGTAACAGTTGCAAACTCACAGAAGCTTAAAAAAATATATTATATTTGCAAAAAGCATTTCATATTACAACAGAGCCTTCAAAAAACAGCCTTAAGGCAAGATGCTGCAAGTGTAATAAGAAACTTAAATTGTGGCTTTTTTTAATTATCCTTTCACTAATTGGAAGCTTACGGGCAAGAAATAAAGGAAAAGTGCTATTTGAATTTCATATTGTCTATGTAAAAACTTTATTTACACAAACTTTCTGAAATGTCACTTAGATCATTAATTTACTAAGTCTTATATTTGATGTTACATACTTTGTAAATAGAATAGGCATCTAAAATTTAAACACTGTTCACACTTTACCTTCTTCCAGATCTTACCAAAAGCTTTGCTTTTTTCCTACTGCAGTACGCTTCAGTAAGAAGTGATGTCACCATGGTAACGGAAAGGGTAACCTTGAAACACATCTGTTCAGTTTACAAGAGAACTGTCATATTCCTTACTAATCACACCAAGCAAGCCTTTTTTAATGCTAATAAATCGGGCACGAATTTTTACCATCACCGAATTATTATTATTATTTTGATACTTATACAGTTGTGATATCATTATTCTTGTTCTGTTTTGCTCAAAGGAGGAGATGGGCTAAGCTAGATCCGGGGCCCAGGTAGTTTAAAGCATTTTTCTGGTTTTTCAGTATAGCTATTCAGAGTAATTTTTTTTGTCGGTTTTCTGTAATTCTTTGGGAACGGGGATGCCAACTATAATTTACAAAGAGTTTAACTTAATTTTTATTTGGATCTGAAGTAAAAGCAGGTTGCTTTTTATAAGCTAAAGCGGTAGAAGTCAAAGAACAAAAAATATCCATCTGGTACAGGAAAAAATTATGTCAGTGATATTTACAGTCCGTTTTTTTTATAGTAGTGCATTATTAGGTTTGCGCATTTAAATAACTTTTAACTTTTCTTGTTTAGAATTTTTTTTCCTTTCTTCAAGTCATTGAAAAAATATTGAACTCATTTTTCTATCAACTTATAATTATAATGCCCAACTCATAATTTAACTATCAACTCATATTATCTGTATAAAGTGTATAAGAAGTTATGCAAAAAATATAAACTATTTATGTTGAATGATAGCGCAAGATTCTGTTATGTTTGTGTTATAAAATAGAAAATAAAATTATTTCAATACTAGGTGATAGTTATTTTTGTTCCTTGTATTTTTGAAAATTCTATTGAAGAAAAATAATTAAATTTGGTTACTTTTTCTCCTTATTGACTGTAAATATTTATCTGGGTGCTCCGTACCCACCGTTTCTAATATCTAGTTTTAGTATCCTTGTAAAAAATAAACTAAAAAGCGTTACACTAGAAAACAATAATGGTTAAAATAATAATCTTTACCTTTTGAGCTTATAATAGTTAAAATATCTGTCTTGGTTAGACTCAAATTTGTTTTGAATGCAGCCTTAATTAAAATTTTAATTTATTTTTTGATAAGCCGGGGTCTTAAAATTAAAAATCTAAAGTAAAATATAAACATTTATGTAATTTTTTTTTAAAAATAAGAGCAAATTTGAGCATTAAAACTACAAAATTTTTATATTACGCTGACAGCTCTACATCAAATTATAATGCATAAATATCAAAATATATTTTTACGATTAATAAAATGGTTACTTATGCTTGGAACTTGCGTTTTTAAAAAATTCTAAGATACGATGAAATAGAACTAAATATAATATTTTTCAATATTGGTTTTTTTTAAAAGAAAAATTCTAAGGATAAAAAGAATAAATTCGCACTTATACTTTAGTTCAAAACATAGTCTTCATACAAAACCTTCATACGAAGTTTCAATGAATTCTAAAAAAAAAACATTTTATGTAACGTAGCGTAAAGAGATTTTCTTAAAATTAAAGTTCTTCTAAAAATTCATTTAAAGTTTGTAATTGCTAAAAATACTTAAATTATTTTATGCGAATAAAATAAGTAGAAATCGTAACATTTATTCTCAGTTTAAAGAGATTTAGAAAGTTAGTGAACAAAAATTCAATATGGACGATTAAAACTTAAATCAAAACTTTTGTAGAAATTGTTATTTTAAACCAGTCGGTCTCCTTAAATAGTTATATTTTTTTAAAATTAATTTTACTAATTATTTTATTTTATAAGCAATAGCCTGGATTGTAATTATGAAAAATTAAAAATGAAAAATTGTTAGGCTTCTTTTACAAATAATAAAAAATGATAGTTAACATGAACAACGATTTTGAAATTGATCTGTCGAAAAACATACCTTATTAACATTCAAAAATAATTATCCATCCTTTAAGAAAGTTTAAAAACGTAACAACCATATTTTATCATTTTATTTAAAATTACAGTTAGAAATTGACGGTGAGTTGCTGTTTTTATTTTAATATATATCTATATATTTCAAAAATTTTTATAACCGTCGAACAGCCGAACCAATCTATGAGTTTACGACTACTAATGTTCAACTTCGTTGCCTTGTAATTTTGAACCCATTCCGGAAGACAAGGGAACTCCTGGATCAAGTATTGGGAGAAATTTACCTTCGTGGAAGACTTTCTTGATGGAACTAACCCACATTTGCGTTACATGGAGAGGAAAACCACGAGAACCTCCAACGGTTTGCCTGAAGGCAAGGGGACTCTAACCCATGATCCGTCTACCACTGAGGATATTTCACGTCACTGTGGTCAGTGCAAGCCGGATGCAGAATTCGTATTGACCAGCCAAAGCCGGGATCGAACCCCGGTTCACACCATTGGAAGGCAAACGTTCTATCCCTTGAGCCATCGCGGCTCTATTTTAATATATTGAGTCTTCACAGGAATTTATATTTGTAATCTTCACAGGAAATAATATTTCGATTTAGTTCAAATAACACTGCAGATTTTTTAACACTTGTTTTCCAGTGACATCCCGTGCCATAAGACGGAGTTTCCAGTAGATCACTAAAGTTAAGCACCACCTTGCCTGCAAAGGGACCGAGGGCGCTCGTTGTCGGTTCCTTTGCCATAGATGGGATGCGGTGCTTCTTTTATAATTTTTATTTCTGACGCTCTAAATACGACAAAAAATATTTAGGTATTCTTTTAATTATAAAAAAAACCCATTCTAATATCCACTGAAAATAAAACTGCTCGGTTATCGGAATTATGTTTGTACTGAAATATAAAATACCGCAAGAAGTTAGAAATTTTCTTTTCATTCATACTCAAAAATTTATCAATAATTGAGTTAAAGTAAAGAAATTTCAATGATGAATGAATAGTTTCTCTTAGATCTTTATAGTTGAAAATTTGAAAAATTATTGTTTGGAAGAGTTCACATTAACGCAGAAAAAGACACCGGTTTGTCATGCTGTTTTTCATGCCAGCGTCTCGTGCTGTGCTAATTTATTAAAATGCTAATTATAATATTTTTCACTTATTTGACCTACACTAATAGAAAATACTGGAAAAAAGTACGACAGATATATTTAATAAAAATTCTGCGTCAAACGGTTAAGCTGTTCTACCGTAAAGTGCTCGATTTCGTGTGCAGGTCATCGGGCTACCAAAACAGGGGAACCACCCCCTCTGCAGAGGATTAAAATTGTGTTGGCATGTCTGGAATCTATGCTGTTTCCCAGACCTCAGCTAATAGCTCGTTTTACAGCTCTAAAGCGCAGTAAATAAATTTCTACTGATACTTCTACTTCTGTAAAAAAAAATTGTAGATTTTTTTTCCTGTCTATAAAAATAAACGCCACACAGTTGTACCGGACTAATACATTTTCGAGGATTTACTTTAAAATCTAATTTTTNGAACAAATAAAGTTGTAGTTAATTACACAAGCATGCTTGGTACTCATTTTATCGACCCACTGAAGGGATGAAAGGCTGAGTCGGCCTTGCCCGGCCCAAGGATCGAACCAAGGACCTGTGACTGATACTTCTACTTCTGTAAAAGTTTTTTTTAGATTTTTTTTCCTGTCTATAAAAATAAACGCCACACAGTTGTACCGGACTAATACATTTTCGAGGATTTACTTTAAAATCTAATTTTTTATTTATTTTAGCCACAGTTTACAAATATTATTTTAAGCGATGTCATTTATTGAAAGATTTAATTATCATTGTTGTTTGAATAACAAGCAATGTCTAGTAACTAAAAATATTTCAACTTACTAAATAATTTGTATTTAATACTCTTTTTAAATATAAAAAATTTTCATTAAAAAAATTTGGAGTAATATTTATAATTAAAATAAAATTAAATTTGTGTTTGTAAACAAAAAAGCAATTTATCAACATACATTTAATAAAAAAGAAAGAAAAAACAATCGCATGATTCAAACTCCAAGCGTCTTGTTGTTGGGTAGATTTTCTGCTATTGCCCCATTATCAATGAGGTTAATTTTGTTTTCTCCGCCATGGGTAAAAGCGAGACGGAAAAGAAGTGAAACCATTTTAATTTGTTTTCGGGAGGATTAAATAAATTTTCTTCCGACTATTCACCAATATTTACTTTTTCTGAGGAAAGATTCAGTTATATACATTCGCTATAATTGTAAAAAAAAACCTATGTAGTTTCAGATATTTTATGTTTCTCTAAAAAAATGCTTTCGTGCCCGTTTTTGCCCTTTTCCGTCCTCGGCGGTCAAAAATTCCACGCGGACAACAAACACGGACTGCCATTTTTCCGTTAATGCTAGTTATACATTTTAAATTTTTGTTATCTTACAAGAGTTTAGCGCCTCACTTCTAAAATAACCCTCTAAATCTAGAAATCCCATTAATTATGAACATCAACCTAAATGGAAAACCCCTTTCAGATTTCTGTGCAGAAACCTCTGTAAATCATTGGCTTGATTGTGGAACTGGCAAACGTCATATTTGATTCATTTAAAAAACGCAGTACCCTCGGATAAATTGACATTCCAGATAACTTGACCTTTGTCATTTAAATTATTTCATAAAAGAAATACTAGGTTACTATTAGTAACCTAGTATTTCTTTTATTACTGTATAATGTAATCCTAGTAACTACTAATTCATCGTGCAATTTATATAAATGTTTGTAATAAATAAGAGAAAATTATATTTTTATTTATTTAGAAGCTACGGGTTAGTTTCAAAGGAGGACGGGTAAAATTTTTGAGTCTTTTGGAGCACTGGTATATATATAGGCTTTCAGCCCTATTTTCTCCTTGTCAGATAAAAACAGGTTTCGATCCCGATACGTTCACGCTTCAAAGTGTTTGACGAAACGCTAATACTGTACGCTAATCATGCTGTACGAAACGTTCACGTCAAACTTTTTCTTAGTTGCGACATCGACGCAGCTTTAAGTGATCTTGGATATATTTCCATGAACTGATTTTGTTTCCGTTTCGTATTTGTGTTTTAGAGTGTGTGTGCTTGAAAGACTTTCTGTTAGAAAAAAAATAAACAACTAAATAAAAATATTTTTATTTTTATTAAAAATATTTTATTTAGTTGTTTATTCTTTTTTCTAACAGTATTTTTTTCTAGCTTTTATATTGTTAAAAAAGATTGATTTAATTTTTTTTACCGATTGATTTTTAAATTGATTGATTTCCAAACTTTCGAGTAATTTAAAGTTATAAAAGATAAAGTGAAGTTCATATAAAATTTTAAAATTACTTCCTGTAATGCTTCTTTTGTCCTTTCAATCCTTCTTATTAATTTTTTCTTTCAAAGCTATGAATATAAAATTATTCTTTGGTATTGTTATTTATATAAAAACCATAATGCAGTTTCTCTTAAACTATAAATAAATAATTAGGATTGACCAATTTTAAATAATTAGGATTATTATGAATTTAATTTCACTTTCTTAAAAGCAAAATTCGATGCCGAATGAAAAAAAAAAAGCTTTTTTTAGATTTAAATGTGTATGCTACACGAAAACTGCTTTCTGGCAAATCGAATTTTTTATGACATTAAGTATAGGTTCATTTTTTCAAATATGCGCTTTTATGAATCGAAGCTTTTTTACTTTTTAAATACTGTTTAGTTACTTAAAAACTTAATAATTTATTCCTTATTAGTTCAACTGTTAACTTTTGAAAAAAGAACTTTCATCAAGTAATAAATAAAAACATGAGAGCCAGAATTATAATCGATAAGAAATATTCTTTTTTTTCTCCCTATAAAATAGTCTTTTAGTCTCTCAATTCATCTCATCGAACAAAAGCAGAATGAAAGAAGAACTTTGCCCTTGATTGTTTTAGTTGTTTCAGACGATATTTGACGTCACGCGTGACGCGAAAACCGAGAATTCGATTCTAAACCTCAACTAAAACGAGAAAATGAAACTAATAGTAGAAAAGTTTTTCTTTAGAAGTTTTTTTTTCCTGATATAAATACAGTGTTAGGGAATTTATATTATATGTCATGTCCGACTGCGTGAATGATTTGGAAGTGACTATGATCAAATAAAAAGGTAAGAAACGTTTAAATTTTAATCAGAAATAAAATATATTTTTTTTAGAAATTAATGAATGTAAGTTTTTCGTAAATTTCTTACAAATTTGAAATACCAACTGATAGAACAGTTTTCTATTTATGATTCATAATAATTTTTATTTGTTATTACAAAATTAGAATGAAAGTTATTTAAATATATAAAAAAATATTATATTAGTAGTAAAAATATTAGCAACTCATTACAACTAATAAAAAAATTATAACTACTTATGCTAATAATTAACTAATTGATTACTTTTCCTACTTGTGATTCATTATAGTTTTATTTATTATTATCAACTTAAAGTAGAATTCAAATTAATAAAAAAATCATATTAGCTATGATTAATATTAGCTTTGCATTAATATCTTGTAGGAAATTTAAATAACTTTTATATTTCTGAATGATTGTAATCCTTTTGATTTACGCCTTAGCCCTTTATTATATTCTTTTAGACATTCATCAAACACTTTTATAAGAAAGTTTGATCTAGTTAGTTTTTATTGTTATAAGCAACAATCAATGTCACAACAATAGGCAAAAAACCGAGATTTGAATTCTAAACAACAATCTGAAAATTAAACCAATAGTAGGAAAACGCTTCTTTCGAGTTTTTTTTTGTCATGAAAAATATTATGTTTTATCGTCGACTGAGAGGGTAAGAGAAATTTAAATTTTAAGAGAAAATAATTTTTTCTTGTAAATTTCGTATAAGAAATTTGAATTACTAATTAGTTATATTTTTCCTATTTGTAATTCATTGTGGTCTTTATTTATTACTGCGAAATGTATTAATTTAAGAAAAAGTAATAGTGATTAATATTAGTAACTAATTACAATAAATATTATCATTTATAACTAACATTATCAATCATATTAAGCATTATAGTAACCATTATTAATAACTTAATGATTGATTATTTTTCCTATTTGTGATTCATTATGATTTTTATTTATTAATGTCTTCCAAGAATAGAATTACAATTTATAAAAAAAAGCATATTAGTAGTGATTAATAATAGTTTAAATAACTTTTATTTTTCTGAATGATTGTAATTAATAATGTCTTTAAATGAAAATAAAATTTATAAAAAAAGTAGTATTAGCAGTAATTATCATTAGTTTTGCGTAAATAAAATGTGGGAAGTTTAAATAACTTTTATTCTACTGAATGATTGTAATTCTTTTTATTTTTGCTTTCTCCCTTTGAAATAGTTTTTTAGACCTTCAATTTATCTTACAACTCTCAGTTCATCTAACAAAGATAGAGTGAAAGGGAAACTTTGATCCTGTTAGTTTTTATTGTTTCAGACGACGACATTCGCCGTCATAGTTGCCACGAAATCTGAGAATCGAATTCAAAACTTCAACGAAAAAAATGAAAATGAAACTAATGGTAGATTAATTTTCCTTTAGAAGTATTTTTTCCTGATATAAATATCGTGTAAGAGATTTTTATTTATAACGCCGAGTGTGTGAATGATATGGCAATACTAATTGTTTTCAAGAAAAAGGGTAAGAGAAATTTAAATTTTTTGAGAAAAGAAATTTTTTAAGCAAATTTTATGTAAATTTCGTATAAGAAATTTGAATAACTAAGTAATAATATTTTTCCTATTTGTGATTCAATCTTGTCTTTATTTATTAATGCGACATGTATTCAATTTTTTTTAAAAAAAAAATAGTGATTAATATTCGTAACTAATTACAACAAATATTATCATTTACAACTATCATTATCAATTATATTAAGAATTGTAGTAACCAATATTAATAAATAACTGATTGATTATTTTTCCTATTTGTGGTTCATTATGATTTTTATTTATTAATGCCTTCCTAGAATAGAACTGCAATTTATAAAACAAAAAGCATATTAGCTGTGATTAATAATAGTTTTGCGCAAATATCTTGTATGAAGTTTAAATAACTTTTATTTTTCTGAATGATTGTAATTTCTATTATTTCTGCTTTCTCCCTTTTAAAAAGTCTATTAAAACCCTCAATTCATCTAAGAAAGGCAGAGTGAACGAGAAACTTTGATCTCGTTAACTTATATTGTTTTAGACAACATTCGACGTCACAGCTGAAACAAAAACTGATATTTGAATTCTAAACCTTAACTAAAATGTGAAATGAAACCAACAGTAAGAAAGTGTTTCTTTAGAGAATTTTTTTTTCTGATAAAAATATTGTGTTGAGGATTTATATTATGTTTTATCGCCAACTGTGTGAATAATCTGGAAGTAACTGCTATCAAGAAAAATAGTAAGAAATTTTTACATTTTTTGAAAAAAAAATGTTTTTTTAATGCAAACTTTATGTAAATTTCTTATTTGAAATTTAAATTTCAAACTAATTGAATATTTTTCCTATTTGACATTCATTATAGTGTTTGTTCATTGATAACTTCTTCAAATAAAATTAAAATTTATAAAAATGTAGTATTAGCAGTAATTATCATTAGTTTTGCGTAAATAAAATGTAGGAAGTTTAAATAACTTTTATTCTTCTGAATGATTGTAATTCTTTTTATTTTTGCTTTCTCCCTTTGAAATAGTTTTTTAGACCTTCAATTTATCTTACAACTCTCAGTTCACCTAACAAAGATAGAGTGAAAGGGAAACTTTGATCTTGTTAGTTTTTATTGTTTCAGACGACATTCGACGTCACAGTTGAAACAAAAACTGAGAGTTAAACTTCAACTTAAAAAATGAAAATGAAACTAATAGTAGATTACTTTTCCTTTAGAAGTATTTTTTCTTCATATAAATATCGTGTTAGAGATTTTTATTATTTTTAACGTCGACTGTAAATGATATGGGAATAATTGTTTTCAAGAAAAAACGTAAGAGAAATTTAAATTTTAAGAGAAATATGCAAGTTTTATGTAAATTTCGGATAAGTAATTTGAATTACTAAGTAATAATATTTTTCTTATTTGTAATTCATTATGGTCTTTATTTATTAAAGCGAAATTTATATATTTTTTTAAAAAAATAGTGATTAATATTAATAACTAATTACAACAAATATTATTATTTATAACTATCATTATCAATTATATTAAGAATTGTAGTAACCAATATTAATAACTGATTATTTTTTTCTATTTGTGGTTCATTATGATTTTTATTTATTAATGACTTCCTGGAATAGAATTGCAATTCATAAAAAAAGCATATTATCAGTGAGTTATAATACTTTTGCGTAAATATCTTGTATGAAGTTTAAATTGCAAATTAGTTAAATAATTTTAATATTTCTAAATGATTGTAATTCATTTCATTTCTGCGTAATTTGAACAACAGCTTTCAAATTTTTTCCCATAGATTTCGTTTTCTTTTTGTATTTGTGTTTGTGTATACTAAAATAAGTGAGTCTAAATAAAATAAACAAATACAAAACAAAAATATTTTTTATTTGATGTGTAGTAAAATTAAGATTGATTTAACTGTTATTTTTAAAATGAGTGAGACGTGAAAATTTATAAAAGGCTAAGTGAATTCAGATAAAATGTCAAAATTACTCTCTGTTGATTTGTTTGTTTATTTATTTCTTTTAAGTACATTCTTCTTTCAAAACCATGAATATAAAATTAATTTTTCATCTTTTTATTAATTTTTAGAAAAAATATAAATGTTTCTAAAATTATAAAACAATTTTTTTGACTTAGCAATAATTAAAATTATTATAAATTAACCATCACTTTCTCAGAACAAAGTTTGATGTCGAATAAAAAAAAAGTTAAAAAATGTAGTTTATTTTTGAGGTTTGAATGTGTATTCAACAGGAAAACTACTTTTGTGCAAATCGAATTTTTTACTCAATTAATGTAGACTCATTTTAAATTATGCACATTTACGAATCAGAACATTTTTACTTCTCAAAATACTGTGTTACTAATTATTTAAAAATATAATAATTTATTACTCATTAGTTTAAATGTTAACTTTTGAAAAAAAGAGTAACTTTCTGCGAGTATTAAATAAAAATAGACCAGTCAGAATTATAATCGATAAGAAACCATTCTTTTATAAAGCAAAAGCGTTTCTTTTTTTTTCATCCTTTAAAATGGGCCTTTAAACACTCATTTAATCGAACAAAGGCACAGTGAAAGAGATAATTTGTTAGTTTTTGTTTTTTCAGACGGCATTCGACGTCATGACTGCTGAAACGGAAACCGAGAGTGGAATTCTAAACCTGAACTAAACAACTGAAAACGAAACTAATAGTAGAGAAGTTTTTCTCAATTAATTTTTCTTCTTCTCTTCTATGAATATCGTGTTAGGAGTTTATGTTACATTTGCTTTCCGAATGCGTGAATGATCCGTAAGTAACTGTGATAAAAAATGTAAATAATGTTAAAAAAATTTTCGAAATTTTTTTAAAAAGTTAATTCAAGTTTTATGTAAATCTCTAATTATAAATTCGAATTACTAACTAATTACTGAATACTCTTCCTATTTGAGATTCATTATTGTCTTTATGTGCTAATGATCATTAGAATAAAGATTATTAAAATTTATTAAAAAATTATATTAGTATTGATTAATATTAGTAGCTAATTACAAATATAATAAATTAAAACTATTATTATCAATTTTAACTAATATTAGAAATAATAAGTGTTAATAAACAGATTGATTATCCTTTTTATTTGCGATATTTTATGGTTTTTATTTATACATACTTTCTTGAAATAGAATAAAAATTTATAAAAAAAGTCATATTTTTAGAGTGATTAATATTAGTAAATATCTTGTAGGAAGTTTAAACAACTTTAATATTTCAGAATCATTGTAATACTTTTTTATTTCTGCTTTCTCCCTTCAAAATAGTCTTTTGGACTCTCAATTCATCAAATCAAGAGTGAAAGAGAAACTTTACCTTGTTAGTTTTCATTGTTTTTTGACGACATTCGACGTCATAGCTGAAACAAGAACCGAGAGTTGAATTTGAAACTTTAAATAAAAAAGTGAAAATGAAACTAATAGTAGAAAAGTCTTTCTTTAAGATGATTTCTTTCTTCATATACAGTAACTGCTGTCATGAAAGTAACTGCTGTCAAGAAAAAAGGTAATTAATATTTTAGTTTTGAGAAGAAAAAATTTTTTAATGCAATTATATGCAAATTTTTTTTTAAAACAAATTTAAATATTTATCTAACGAAATATTTTTCCTATTTGTGAGTGTGGTATATATTTATTAAAGCGAAATTAGAATAAAAGCCATATAAATTTATTAAAAAATTTTATTTGTAGTTATTAATATTAATTACTAATTAAGAGAAATATAATCAATTAAAAATATTATTATTAATTATAACTGATATTAGAAGTAACTAAATGTTAATTAATTTAAAGTCTAATTGATTATCTTTCCTATTTGTGATTCATAATGGTTTTTATTTATTAATATTTCATAAAATCGAATTAAAATTTATGAAAAAGTAATATTTTAGGAGTGATTAACATTAGTTTTGCATAAATATCTTGTAGGAAGTTTTAATAAAGTTTATATTACTGAATGATGATAATCCTTTTTATTTCTATTTTCTCTGTTTGAAACAGTTTATTGGATTCTCAATTCATTAAGCAAAAACAGAGTGAAAAAGAAACTTTACCTTGTTAGTTTCAATTGTTTGAGACGACATACGAAGTCACAGCCGAAACAAAAACCCAGAGTTACATTCTAAACCTCAACTAAAAGTTAAAATGAAACTTATAATAGAAAAGTGTTTCTTTAGAAGAGTTTTTCCTGATAGAATGAGTAAATGATCTGGCTAGCAAGAAAAAAGGTAAGAAATGCTTAAAATTTCAAAAAAGATATTTTTTTATTGCAAAAGTTTTATGTAAATTTCTTATAGGAAATTTGAATTATTTGAAATATTTTTCCTTTTGTGAATAATCATGGTATTTATTCATTAATGCGAAATGTGATTAAAAGTTATTTAATGTGTCAATCGTAACTAATATTAGTAACTAACAAATTACGACAAATATATCATGTAAAACTATTATTATCAGTTATATCTATAGTATTGTAACTAATCTGGTTGATAATTATTCCTGATTATGATTCATTATGGTTTTCAATTATTAATACCTTCTTAAAATAGAATTGAAATTTATACAAAAAAAAAATCATGTTAACAATACTTACCAATGGTTTTGCGTAAATATCTTATAAAAAGATTTAAATTACAAACTAAATACTTTTCATATATCTGAATAATTGCAATTATTTTTATTTCCGTGCAAATAAAAAGAAAGATTTCAATTTTTCAATTTTTAAAAAAATATTTTTATTTTATATTATAACCGTTGTTGAACAGTCGACCCAATTGTTGGGTTTACGACTACTAATGTTCAACTCCGTAGCCTTGTAATTTTGAACCAATCCAGAAGACAAGGAAACTCCTGGGTCAGTACCCCCTGAGGTATGATTTGTTATGAGAACAACTTAGTGACTCGACAGATTTAATGTACATCAGTCACCATTTACTACAAGAGGAGTCTTCGGAAGGCGGTGATCGAATCCACGAACTCTTGGACATGGGCCTAGAGCCCTACCAGCCAGGCTATCATGGCCTTTTAAAAATATAGTGAGAGTTTGCTTTGTAATGCAACTTTAATTGATCTCAATCTGTGCAATTTAAAAAGTTATTTTTCGGAATTTAATTTTATACGCCAAATGACCGTTAAAGACACATAATTATTTCCATTGCTATGATGTTATACTCAAATAACCAATACAGTATGTTTTACCGAGACTGACTGGATTAAAATTATAAAAGAAAAAAGAAATTCAAATTTTTCAGAATTCTTCACCTTTGTCCTCGTTTCATTTCGGGGATGGAATTCTAAGCTTTTTGAACAACATAAGAAGTTGATTTTTAAAGTAAAAAAAAAGTTTCTGTTCCTGCATACGCATATTTATTATACGCATCTAATTACTAAAGAAGAGATATAGTTGCTTCAAGTGTTATAATGTTGCAAGAACTCAAATAATATGGGATGTTTCACCAAAATAGAACGACTTAAACTCATGAAAGAGAAGGAAAAAAAGTTACACATTTATAAGGCTGCCTTTCATTGTTTGTTATCTCATATGGGAAATAGATATTTAGGTTTTAGTCAGCTTTTTTTAAGAAAAGAATATGAGAATTAGGTTTGTAGCATCGGAGCAAATTTAAAAATTCTATTCATGAAGATCAGCATCAAATGACTGAAAAAGAAGTATCGAAGTTGCAAGTAGGCATGTAATGTAGGATGTTTTACCTATAACGAATGGATTAAAATGAAAATATTTAAATTAATTTGTGGCCTAAGTGCAAATTTAAAAAGGGCATCTTCCTGATGTTAATTATATGCACCTTATTATTGAAGAAGATAATAACTGTTTTAAGTAATCTCATGTAATAAGCAGTATAATGTAAGCTGTTTTAACGGAATTTAATAGCTTAAAATAATGAAAGAAAAAAGATTAATAAATTTTACAAGAAAACCTCTCATTGGTTCACCACTAATATAAGAAATACAAAAGTTAGGTTTTTTTATTTCTTAAAAACAATGTGGGTGTTTTCTTCGTAACATCGGGGCAAAATAAAGAAGTTTCGACACTTGGAAAATATTTTCCGCTTCAAACGAGTTGAGAATATACATACTTATTTAAATTGCTGTGATGTTAAAAAAGGCTTATAATACTATTTTAACAAGATCTAATTGATTAAAATAATAAAAGAAGGGAAAATTAAAAAATTTTAAAACAGCATCACATTGTTTCTAATCTCAGTTCAAAGATGAGTTTGTCAGATCTTTTCACGTTTCAAAAACAATGTAAGATTTAGATTTGTATAAGCAATAAGATATATAAAATTTTCCCACCTTGAAAAAAAATAGACATCAAAGATTCTTTAAGATATATATTTATTTATTTTGCATGTCAGAAAAAGGAACATAATACAGTCTGTTCTAACAAGATTGAATTAAAGTAACAAAAGAAAGAAGAATAAGAAGTTCTGAAGATATCCTCACATTGTTTCTCTTCTCATTTCAGAGAAGGTTTCGTAAGGTCCTTCCACCAAATAACAACAATGTGAGTGATTGCTTTGCAACATCAGTGCAAAATATCAAATTTTTTCACCTTGAAAATAGTTTTACGATTCAAAAGACTCTGGAACATAAATATTTATTTATATTGCTGTGATGTTACAAGCAGTTATATAATATAGTCTGTTCTAAGAAGATTGAATTAAAATAACACAAGAAAAAAGAATTAAAAGTTTTGAAGATATCCTCACATTGTTTCTCTTCTCATTTCAGAGAAGGTTTCGTAAGGTCCTTTCACCAAATAAGAACAATGTGAGTGATTGCTTTGTAGCATCAGTGCAAAATATCAAATTTTTTCACCTTGAAAATTGTTTTACGATTCAAGAGACTCTAGAACATAAATATTTATTTATATTGCTGTGATGTTACAAGCAGTTATATAATATAGTCTGTTCTAAGAAGATTGAATTAAAATAACACAAGAAAGAAGAATTAAAAGTTTTGAAGATATCCTCACATTGTTTCTCTTCTCATTTCAGAGAAGGTTTCGTAAGGACCTTTCACCAAATAAGAACAATGAGAGTGATTGCTTTGTAGCATCAGTGCAAAATATCAAATTTTCTCATCTAGAAAATAGTTTTACGATTCAAAAGACTCTGGAACATAAATATTTATTTATATTGCTGTGATGTTACAAGCAGTTATATAATATAGTCTGTTCTAAGAAGATTGAATTAAAATAACACAAAAAAAAAGAATTAGAAGTTTTGAAGATATCCTCACATTGTTTCTCTTCTCATTTCAGAGAAGGTTTCGTAAGGTCCTTTCACCAAATATGAACAATGTGAGTGATTGCTTTGTAACATCAGTGCAAAATATCAAATTTTTTCCATCTTGAAAGCAGTTTTACGATTCAAAAGACTCAGGATATTTATTTATATTGCTATGATGTTACAAGCAGGTATGTAATATAGTCTGTCTTATCATGATTGAATTAAAGTAACACAAGAAAGAAGAATTAGAAATTTTGAAGATATCCTCACATTGTTTCTCTTCTCATTTCAGAGAAGGTTTCGTAAGGACCTTTCACCAAATAAGAACAATGTGAGTGATTGCTTTGTAACATCAGTGAAAAAAATCAAATTTTCTCATCTTGAAAATAGTTTTACGATTCAAAAGACTCTGGAACATAATTATTTATTTATATTGCTGTGATGCTACAAGCAGTTATATAATATAGTCTGTTCTAAGAAGATTGAATTAAAATAACACAAGAAAGAAGAATTAGAAGTTTTGAAGATATCTTCACATTGTTTCTCTTCTCATTTCAGAGAAGGTTTCGTAAGGTCCTTTCACCAAATAAGAACAATGTGAGTGATTGCTTTGTAGCATCAATGCAAAATATCAAATTTTCTCATCTTGAAAATAGATTTTCGATTCAAAAGACTCTGGAACATAAATATTTATTTATATTGCTGTGATGTTACAAGCAGTTATAAAATATAGTCTGTTCTAAGAAGATTGAATTAAAATAGCACAAGAAAGAAGAATGGGAAGTTTTGAAGATATCCTCACATTGTTTCTCTGCTCATTTCAGAGAAGGTTTCGTAAGGTCCTTTCACCAAATAAGAACAATGTGAGTGATTGCTTTGTAACATCAGTGCAAAATATAAAATTTTCTCATCTTGAAAGCAGTCATACGATTCAAAAGACTCAGGATATTTATTTATATTGCTGAGATGTTACAAGCAGTTATATAGTATAGTCTGTTCTAAGAAGATTGAATTAAAATAACACAAGAGAGAAGAATTAGAAGTTTTGAAGATATCCTCGCATTGTTTCTCTTCTCATTTCAGAGAAGGTTTCGTAAGGTCCTTTCACCAAATAAGAACAATGTGAGTGATTGCTTTGTAACATCAGTGTAAATTATCAAATTTTCTCATCTTGAAACAGTTTTACGATTCAAAAGACTCAGGATATTTATTTATATTGCTATGATGTTACAAGCAGGCATATAATATAGTCAGTCTTATCATGATTGAATTAAAGTAACAAAAGAAAGAAGAATTCGAAATTTTGAGCATATTCTCACATTGTTTCTCTTCTCATTTCAGAGAAGGTTTTGTAAGTTCCTTTCACCAAATAAGAACAATGTGAGTGATTGCTTTGTAACATCAGTGCAAAATATCAAATTTTCTCATCTTGAAAATAGTTTTATGATTCAAAAGACTCTGGAACATAAATATTTATTTATATTGCTGTGATGTTACAAGCAGTATATAATATAGTCTGTTCTAAGGAGATTGAATTAAAATAACACAAGAAAGAAGAATTAGAAGTTTTGAAGATATCCTCACATTGTTTCTCTTCTCATTTCAGAGAAGGTTTCGTAAGGTCCTTTCACCAAATAAGAACAATGTGAGTGATTGCTTTGTAACATCAGTGCAAAATATCAAATTTTCTCAGCTTGAAAATAGTTTTATGATTAAAAAGACTCTGGAACTTAAATATTTATTTATATTGCTGTGATGTTACAAGCAGTTATATAATATAGTCTGTTCTAAGAAGATTGAATAAGAATAACACAAAAAAGAAGAATTAGAAGTTTTGAAGATATCCTCTCATTGTTTCTCTTCTCATTTCAGAGAAGGTTTCGTAGGGTCCTTTCACCAAATAAGAACAATGTGAGTGATTGCTTTGTAACATCAGTGCAAAATATCAAATTTTTTCAGCTTGAAAATAGTTT